ATGCAAAGACTTCATTCTTCTTGTCTCCATCGATGGCGAGACCAGCAGAATCGTAACCACGGTATTCAAGGCGCGAAAGACCTGTAGATTGCAAATGATTAACTGGCAGATCCCAAAAACTTGATGAAAGGCGTGCGAGTATTGAAAGGAATTGTTGGCTGAAATGGCGGTATATATAACACCTCAGTCAAAAGGAGGGGCATTTTGTGTATCTTACCATTGACAAGTGTGTCGAGAATGTACTTTCTATCCTTCTCCACCAAGTAATTAATGTATCCGAAGATTCCACTGAGAAGATGGTCAGTCAAATTGTCAAATCTTTATTGTCCTCGTCCTCGAAGGATGGCAGGCATTTCCAATGCACATATACATACCACATTGTTGCAGTGAAAGGGATGTGTTCTATTGGGATCTAGATATTGGTGGGATGTGCAAAAAAGGGTATCGAAAGCAAGAATGATTGTAGATTCAAAGAAAACGAATGAAAAAGATATGTATGATTTCCTTTCCTTTCCTTTCGTTGAGGGATGTGGATGGTTTTAAGGGGAGTAAGAGGGAAGAATGGTGGGATATTCTTCGTCTGAATGTAAACGTGCACGTTGTCACCCCCACAGCCCTTTGCCTCTCAACCTGTCAAGCCTGCTAACGAAAAGAAAATACGGTAACAACTTGCAAGTGTTTACGAATCTATTAGCTAGGTACTTTGATACGGGGCCACTTGATTGTTGCTGCGGATCTCAAACACATACTAATACGTGACTACGATGCTAGTGGTGAATAACTGGATTTAAGAGCCCTTGAGGCTGCATCTCTCGTACTTTTCAAAAAGAAATCTTACCTTACCAACCCAATCCCGAATAGTCTCACGCCTGGAGCCCGTATCAATACGCCTTTTCTTGTCAATTTTGACCTCAAACTTTTCAGTTCCTTCTTCTTTCCCACCTTCTTCCTCGTTCATGTACCAATGATTGAAGATGCTCAACAGGGGAGCATTCTGCTAAAGCTGTATGAGCCACACAATTGACCCACCTGTTAATCTAAATAAAGCAACATTTCAGTTCTCCAGGCACAGGGGACTTAATCAGGTACCCAGGGTCGCGGGGGCATAACTCTATCCAGACAAATTTTCTCGACGAAAGCTTCATCATGACGTACAGTCTTGAACTCTGTCCTATGTGTATTGGGGGGTGTGAAAGCAGAGGTTGCAGGTACCGGTACGATATCACATAAGTGGTACAGTATATCAACGGAGGATTCCACAGTCGAATTCAACCACTGAATCTGAGCCCAATCAATTGTGAGTACCATGATTCAGTCTCGCAAAGAAGAATCGGAGAACCCGTCGTTTTAGGGTTACCAGGCCATCCACCAAATCACACTGTATCACCGCCAGCCAAGCCAGCGACCTGCACGCATTCCTTTTGCGGGACAGCGGCTTCACATTGTGTGAGGCACTATTACTGTTGGCCATTTATGCAAAATTCGCATCTCTCATCGGCCATTAGGATTCTGAGCTGGGTAGATGTGTTTCCTTTTTGCCGGTCCGAGAAATGGTGTGCTTCGTGCTTCTTCTTCAGGCTACAGCAATCTATATCTGGGTTTTGTGTAATTGTAGATTTTCTCTCGGCGAATCAATATATTGATTTCCTTTTTGACCCTCAAACTCCCCGCCAATCAACCCCACAGGAACCAATGTTGAAGATATACCGTACCCTAAAAAACTAACAAGGCCCCTTTTCAAGCGAGCATGGAGCATGGCTTTGTGGGGACAATAGATGGATGCACTCGAACTACGGTTGAATTGAAATTAAGAAAAAGAATTTTATTTCATGGCAAGCTGTCCCGCTTGTACAGGTTCATGGAATTCCAAAGGAGTTCTTTTTTCATGTGGTATTCTTACAAAGTCGAGCGGTATGCCCAACCATCCCTCAATTATGCGATGCGCCATGCTAAAACGAAATCTATGTAACCATCATAGTTTTTGATATTCCAGCTTGCCTTCCAATTTCTTTGATTCTGCCACTTTACGAACAGCTTTATTGAAATCGTCCTGGTTGACGGCATCTCTGTAATCCTTGATAGCAAATAAACCACTAGAAAAAAAAGTTAGCAAAGTTTTATGTGTAATGTGATGAGGGAATACATACGCTTCTGTGACAACATTTCGTAAATCTGCACCGTTCAAACCATCACTCATCTTTACCACACTTTCAAAGTCGACCTCGCCATCAATAACAACGCTGGAAGCATGAATCTTCATAATTTCCAATCGTCCGACCTCATTTGGCAGGGGAATCTCGATCTTCCTGTCGAGACGACCAGCTCTGAGAAGCGCAGGATCAAGGGTATCTGGACGGTTAGTAGCCATGATAATCTTTGTCTTTCCCAAGTAATCGAAACCATCGAGTTGATTCAACAGTTCCATCAAGGTTCTCTGAATTTCACGATCTGCCGAAGTTCCCTCTGAAAATCTACGTCCTCCAATGGCATCAATTTCGTCCATGAAGATAATACATGGCTCGTGTTCCTTGGCATAACCAAACATCTCTCTGATCAAACGTGCAGATTCTCCAATGTACTTATCGACGATAGCAGATGAGACAACTACATCACATTAGTATGACTTTAAAAATGATGTCAAGCAAAACTCCCACCCTTTAAAAAGTTTGTCTCCAAACTGCTGGCAACAGCTCTTGCTAACAAGGTCTTTCCAGTTCCTGGAGGCCCATATAACAAAACACCCTTCGGAGGCTTGATACCAACTCGCAAAAACAATTCCGGATTTTTGAGTGGCAGTTCGATAACTTCTCGCAATTCTCTAATCTGTTCATTCAACCCACCAATTCCACCGAAGCTCACTTGTCCTGGATCTTCCAAAGACATGTTATAAACAAGTGGATCGACTTCTCGAGGCAACATTCGCATAATTGTGAGAGTGGTCATGTCGAGTGCTACACGGGTTCCTTGCTTCAACTTCAGCTTATCAACTTTCGACCTGCAGCCAACAACGTATCTGGGTCCAGATGATGCTTTGACGATGACTAGAAGACTAATGTTAGGAATGTTGGATTTGTATTGCCGCTGGCCTACTCACATCTCTCATCATCAAGTTGTTTCAAAACCTCGCCGATAATTTGTCCAACACTTTGTAGAGCTTTGATATTGTCCTCTGTATGGTCGAAGTCCTTCTGCAATCCCTTGATTTCTAACCGTAAAGCCTTGAGCCTCGCCTCCCATTCTCTAGACTCCAATAACTTTTCCCTGAATGTGTTCAACGCACGTTCGCGCTCCATAACGCCGTCGGTAGCCATCTCGAATGTCGCAAGGAGTTCGATAGTATTTATGGGATATTTTATTAGGTAGAGGTGATTGAATTACCAAGGATGTAATACGGGCGTTGTTTTCAGATTTGCGTGGAAGGTGTGTATGATGAAAGTGAAGGTATCAAGATGGCTTAACTAAGTTGCATGCGAAGCTCTTGTTGCCTGTGGATCGATTGAGCTCCAAAATATTGATGCCTGAGGTAAAATAAATAAATATTAGTCAGGCCGTACTTGCTCTAAGTGAACCAATGATATCAATGCTTAATTTATACAGCATTCAAATCAACCTCAACCTCACAATTTGCAACTCAATATGTTGTCTACGAAGTACATTTTGTTGATTGATCATTGCATCGCTCTGTTTACCTGCACAGATTCACTACCAAGTGATACATATACGGGACTTCGAGGTAGCCCAGTTCTCCGGCCTTCAATTCCTTCACAAGTGTGCCAAATCACCCAGGTACCTACCCAAAGCTTCTCAACATCACTTGCAAGTAGGTATCAAGTACTGCACTTAGAGATATAGAGCACTCAAATTCGTAGAAGATACGATTCCACCTTCACATACCAACAAGATGAAAGGGGACTTTGCATCTTTTTTGGTCCTTTTCCAACCTCAAGGTTTCGACTGTGACGACAGTGATGAAAGTTATGATGTGATCATTTAGGACATGTTCCATTACTATCTTTCATGCCATACAAGTACAGTGAATATCAATCACCTTGGTAGGTAGGTACATTGTTCGTCTTTTAGACTCAAGACCCAAGAGCTCTCACGAAACTTTCTTCAAGCCGGGTCCGGCCACCGGAGAGGCGAGATAGTACGACCAAAGCTCGCAAAGCTGCAATCTAGACATGGCATTGGCTTGAGATACTACTCCGTAGACACACGTAGCCATTTTTAAGTTTGAAAGTAGTAACAATCCGGCTCTCGTCTGTCAGTAATGGTTGAGATCTAAAGAGTGTGGGACGTGCCATTCCCAAACATCGTTGGCGTTAGTTTAGTAGGTCTGATTTGTACTTGGATGTTTCAAACTTTTAACAAACAGCTTCCAAGATAGTCTCCAAGTTCAACATAATTCCACTTTATATACACTCTGATACATTTCCACCCAAAATTTGCATAAAGTTGTGCCCAAAGGGAGGTGTACGATAGGTACTCCGTACATTACTGTTATCCAATCGAGCCAGTCAAGACTTCGGCGTAACTCACTTACTAAGAGTAACTCCGGTCAGCAGGGATTATAGGCTGGTACGGGAAGGGACGACGCATTGGCACGTTTGGTGGGGCGAGGGGTTGAAAAAGATCTCGTTCTTCTCTGTGACTCCAACTTTTTGATCTTCACTTTCTCACAATCACATCTCTCTTTTCCCAAAGTCACAATAAATTTCAAGGTAAGATTATTCTGATGATATCCCCCTTCGATGGTTGTTAGCAGCTGGGTATCTACGTACGATGCAGAGCTTCATTTCTATCTCTTGATTAAAGTGAATCAACAAGTAGAGAAATAAGCTATAAGCTGAAGCTCGAGTTGGTGCTATCACCCCACCATCCTCATCCATACCGATATTTTCTTCTTCAATCTCCGCCATTTGTATCAGCACTTTTTATCATTTGTACAATTTGATCAAGACGCCCAAATACTAACGATAACTCCTCAACAGAAAGTCAAAATGGCTATCACTAAGATTCACGCACGTTCCGTCTACGACTCTCGTGGAAACCCAACCGTCGAGGTTGACGTTGTCACTGAGACTGGTCTTCACCGTGCCATTGTTCCATCTGGTGCTTCCACCGGTACGTAAATCGCTCCAAACGCTTGAAAACCACAAGGCTGATCGGATGGCACTTCAGGTCAACACGAAGCCGTTGAGCTCCGTGATGGAGATAAGGACAAGTGGGCTGGAAAGGGTGTTACCAAGGCTGTCGCCAACGTCAATGATATCATTGGCCCAGCTCTTATCAAGGAGAACATTGACGTCAAGGATCAATCCAAGATCGATGAGTTCTTGAACAGCCTCGATGGTACCCCAAACAAGGGCAAGTTGGGTGCCAATGCCATTCTTGGTGTTTCTTTGGCTGTTGCCAAGGCCGGAGCTGCTGAGAAGGTCAGTCACAGTATATGCTCACAATCGTTTGCTTGCCTAATGCTCAATAGGGTATCCCACTTTACGCTCACGTTTCCGATCTTGCCGGAACCAAGAAGCCTTACGTTCTCCCTGTCCCATTCATGAACGTTCTTAACGGAGGGTAAGCAATCTGGCAGTTCTGAGGATTGTAGATTAGTTCGCTGATAACGCATAGTTCCCACGCTGGTGGACGTTTGGCATTCCAAGAGTTCATGATCGTCCCTTCGTAAGTTGCTACTTGCACATTCCACATACAATAAATCATACGCTAATACAGTCTGCAGTGCTGCCCCATCTTTCACCGAAGCTCTTAGACAAGGTGCTGAGGTTTACCAAAAGCTCAAGTCTCTCGCCAAGAAGAAGTACGGTCAATCCGCTGGTAATGTCGGAGACGAGGGTGGTGTTGCACCAGATATTCAAACTGCCGAGGAGGCTCTTGAGCTCATCACCGAGTCTATCGAGGCTGCTGGTTACACCGGAAAGATGAACATCGCCATGGACGTTGCCTCCAGCGAGTTCTACAAGGAGGATGCCAAGAAGTACGACTTGGACTTCAAGAACCCAGAGAGTGACCCAACCAAGTGGATCACCTACACTGAGCTTGCCGATCAATACAAGAACCTCGCCAAGAAGTACCCAATCGTCAGCATTGAGGATCCATTCGCTGAAGATGATTGGGAGGCCTGGAGCTACTTCTACAAGTCCTCCGATTTCCAAATTGTCGGTGATGACTTGACTGTCACCAACCCAATCAGAATCAAGAAGGCCATTGAACTCAAGTCTTGCAATGCTCTCTTGTTGAAGGTCAACCAAATTGGTACTCTTACCGAGTCCATCCAAGCCGCCAAGGACTCCTTCGCTGCCGGATGGGGTGTTATGGTTTCTCACCGCTCTGGAGAGACTGAGGATGTCACCATTGCCGACATCGTTGTTGGTCTCCGTGCTGGTCAAATTAAGACTGGTGCCCCAGCTAGATCTGAGCGTTTGGCCAAGTTGAACCAGATCTTGAGAATCGAGGAGGAGCTCGGTGATAAGGCTGTTTATGCTGGAGAGAGCTTCAGAACTGCCGTCAATCTGTAAACGACCTGAAGATACTTTGACAAAAGTAAACTGGGTAGGTAACTGTGTTATGCGGGATGAGCGATACCATAGCCAGAGTAATGATGAATGATACCTAAAAATGAGAAACAATTTGACCAAAATACTTATATATTGTGTTGTGACTGTAAAGGCGTTATTATCACCTTATAAATGCAACCTATTGTTTCCCTTACTCTAAAGAAACCGGTACTGTTTTGTTACTATTGTACATATTGCAGTCTGTGGATGTGGATGGAAAGGTTAAAATTGGTTGATGAGCTAACACATTTGTAACTGTACAAGGTTAATCAATTGGGGACCAATCAAGATTACTAGGTACAGTCTGTTCCGATCGGTCTAACTTATAACTACTGGCAGTGGGTACTTGCCTGTGAACAAGTGCGGGCGCAAACCTAAAGACAAACTTCCAAAATCCCTCTTCCTCAATATTTTCCTTTTCACCACCACAACACATAGTGAAAACTATCACAGCGAGGCTTTTGAGACTCCAGGCCCATTAATCGGAATAGTCAAACCAGAATCAATAAAAAAGGTCTACTCACCGGAAATCTAGTCTTGAAAATGCCTGACAAGTGGGGTAAGTGGCAGAATATTTTTTTTCCCAAGGCGTGTTCCGCGCGGAATGTCTCATAGAATAACGAGCACTTTGAAGATTTGGTTGGAAGATCTACCGCCATGCAAATGCACAAAGAAAGCACTTTAAGCTGACCGCTACTCTCCCAAATAGATGAGGAATCCTCCGGAGAGGAATCATCGGAGCCAACACCCGCACAAACTGCCGTTTCGAACCGAAGAAAGTTTGATGATGAAGAGGATGACGATGAAGTCTTAGATTCCTGGAGTGCCGCCGAAGATTCTGAAGTTGAGCGCGAGAAGGCAAAGGTTGAAGCCGAGCGAAAGGCCAAGGCTGATGCATTGGCTGCTGCGAACAAGAAGTCAAAGGCCCAACGTGTTGCCGAAAAGCAGGCCGAGAGAGCACGACAACTGGCAGAAGGTAGCGATGAGAGCAGTGAAGAGGATGAGGCTACAAGAAGAGAACGCCTCAGACGAACTGAACAAGAATCTGATTTGAAGCACGCTGAGGATCTCTTTGGCAACATTGGAATCAACTCTCGCAAGTCTACAAGTGCCGCGAACGCAGTGCAAATTGATGAAAAGAATCCCGCCGCGACTATCGATTTGACAACTCTCCCACTTTTCGATCCTAAAACTAAGCAGCAGTTTGAGAAGCTCCGCGAAACTCTTGTCCCTCTTATTGCCAACAATGTCAAGAAAGCACAGTACATCATCTTCTTACAAGAGTTCACTAAGCAGATCTCCAAAGAACTTCCAAGTGATCAAATCAAGAAGATCGCCAGTACACTGACGGCTTTGAGTAACGAGAAATTGAAAGAGGAGAAGGCAGCTGAAAAGGGAGGAAAGAAGTCCAAAGCACAGAAAACTAAGACTACCTTAAATGCAAGCAGGGACACTATGGGCAGCAAAGATACCCAGGCCTATGATGATGATTTTGGAGAGTAAGTTTGTTACCCTTTCTTCCACGAAACAACTACTGACGGGTTGCAGTGATGATTTTATGTGAAAGGGCTTCAGTTATAGTTATCATAACTCAGTCTCCAGTATCTATCAAAACTGAGAATACATCCCCAATCGAATTTTACGCCGTCCTACTCAGGTACAAAAGTATTACTTGTGTCTGGCGAGCCCCTAACACTGCTGCATATACAAAGCCCGCCGAGGATGAAGTTGCTCCTTCACGAATGCACATCGAAACCTTGATACACAGATGACAGCAAATGGTGCTGGGTCAGAATTTGAGTCGGTTTGGTGATTGGGGGAGTCAATGACATGACCGGTCTGATATTTCTAGGTTGCACTTCGGTTATTCCTTGATTTAAAGATTTGCTATACATACTACTAGTCGGACTCAAGCATGGATAGACATAGCGAGCACGACTGAATCTAATTTTGGGAATATACCTGCTTTTATACCTTTTTTATCCAATTTCAATCATCTGTCTGTTTTCAACAAGTGATATACTATTTCTATCATAACTCCTAAGTCTAGGTTGAAGATTACATATGAAATTTATGTAGCATAAATCTTCACTCTATGCCCAATGCCACAAATCTAAAATTCATACTCGAATTCTACATTTTATATCTTACTCGAACTTCTCGCCGACGTGTTCCTCTCACTCCCCACAACTAGCGCAACATGATGACTGATAGCGACCAATTCTCCCTCCTCATCCCAAGCCGTCAGTTCTATATCCATGCGTCCATTCCGGGTCTGCTTTCGTTCAACTCGAATGAAGAGCCATTCAATGCCATTTGATGGGAGGGACTTCTTGAAATCTATGTTTAAACAAAGAGTTGGGAACCAGTACTTTGTACCGGGAATAGCTGGTTTTGATTCAGAGGAGGTGGAAGGGGCTGTGGTTTTTGGGAGAAAGTCGGTGGGGAGCGCAAACATATCACATGCGTAGCCGAGACTTTGGTCAGTCCACTGGTTGACATTTGGGTTAGAATTGCGGTTTGGTTAGGGTGTAAGGTTGGAGAATATGGTAAGCTGGGTGGAGAAGGTGATTATGTGTTCAGGATCGGTATCATAAAGGAAATACGGTGCTTACAAATTCGCCAGTGGATAGTCGGATCCATTCGTCTGAGATGTTAGGAGCAGGTTGGGTGTGAGGATAGTAAGTGTGGGCTTTTGTGCTAGCTTTACGGAAGTTGGGTAAAGCCATGCCTTCGTGGTGATAGTTGGGGTCGTTGTCAGTTTTCAGGACTAAAATTCGAGGGTTAATTGGTGAGATTTGGGAAGAGGAAATAGCAGGGGAGAACAAAGGCGAGGGTGTTGGATGAAACATCGGCTATGCTTACGAGAAAGAGTAACGGGAAGGGGGGCTGGATGAAGAACATGAGTGTGAGGAGAAGAAACGCCCTCTTCCGTCGTGGTATTAGAGTGCGTGATATAACCGACTACTTCAACGCGGTCACCTTGTGACAGGGTTACATGGAGAACAGACGTCTGCCTCCCAAGTTTGGTATCTTGGACTAAAGAGAACGTCAGTACATAGAAGCCAATCTATAATACGAAAGATACATTTAAATGATGCTCTCGATATACAGAAGTCATGGGAAAGGCTAACCGGTGAAGAGGGCAGAACCAGCTTCAGTGCGCCGCAAAAACTCTAGATGAAGTGTGATGGGGTTTGGTTGGTTTTGGGCTGACAGGGTGGTGCGAAAATGGAGGGCAGAGACTTGGAGAAAGACACCGGTTGTGAAGCCGCCATGGGGAACTAGATTTCCAGTAAGACAATAAATTCATTGATACATGGGTAACCAAGTAGGAAGTTTGGTAAGAAGCTTATCTACCTGATCCAATGCACCAGTCCTGCATCAATTGTTAGTATGAGAATCCAGTAAAGGGAATTTGTACGTTGAGAGTAAGATTATTCGTAATCATGCTTGGATAGCTCAGAGTCATCAAATCAATTTATGTAACACATATCAAGAATCTTACATCGGGAAAGTTTGCAGAGTAAGTATGCGAAGTCAATTGTTGGACCTTGGTAGCATCGGCAAAGTTGCTGCCTGTGTTTGATGGAGGAAGGGACGTCATGTCGTATATACAAACGTGTTGGGTGAGACAAGATAAAGTGTGGAATGATTGATGAAGTGGTGTACGAAACAATCAACGAAGCAAATCAAATTCTTGGTCTAATTATATATAGGAAATCTGGGGAACTTCTTGTGGAGAAGGGAAGGGTGGAAGATATCTTGCAGAGGTGAGCCGTGGTTTGAGACATACCGAGGTTGATGTACATTCTATCGCTTATCGATTACAAGGGTGATGCGCTTGTACCTTCGGAGGTTTTTTTGTCCTATTTAACGAATACTAGTAGATAGATAGTACGAAGTAGGTACCTACTAGGTATGCATCCAAATCTTTAACTACAAGGTGCTTGTGTAGTAGGTAATCCGCAGCAGGGCAGGATCTCGTATCAAAATACGTTCAGGGTACGTAGTAATCTACTTGCCGCGAATCTGCCTCTCTCGAAGGCAAATCTTCATATACTTTTGGCCACACACATTACTAGATACTGAGGCGCATATCTAGTAAGTCGGTTACCCTACTTTCGGGTCACCAGGGTTTTGGGCCACCCTTTTACACCAAAAATCACTTTTTAGGTCTATTAATATCTCTATCAATATATAATATAATTTGATAAAAATTTATATATATATAATTTAGATCGATTTAAGCTTATTCTGAAATTTTCAAACTCCCAGGATTTTTCTGTATTGAGATCTAGAGCTTCAAAATATCGATTTTTTAATTTGTATAGGAATTATATATAAATTTGAAAATTTTATAAAATCTTTAATAATTTTCTAATAAAAATTGCTAAAAATAGATTATAAAATTTAATTATAAATTTATAATATATTTTATTTAAAAAATTCGCAAAAAATAGAATTTTTTTATAAATAAATATTTAAAGGGGTATTTTCAAAATGATAAGGTTTATTTATATTACTTTAAACTTATTGTATATTATATCTTTATATCTATTAATTTTTTTAAAAAAAAACTGAATTTCTATATAAATTTGAATTCAAAACTTTCAAAAAGATATATAGTTTTCTGTTAATAGTTGTTGTTAAAAAGTTATCAAAGATTTTATAAAATTTCTAAATTTGTATGTGATTCTTATACAAATTAAAAAATCGATATTTTGAAGCTTTAGATTTCAATATAGAAAAATCCTAAAAATCTAAAAATTTTAGAATAAGTTCAAAACGATTTAAATTATATATATATATAAATTTTCAATGAATTTTATTCATAAATAAGAAAGTTAGAAATTCCATTTTTGGTGTAAAAAGTAGTCGAAAAGTGGCCCACAACAGGGGTGGCCAGAAAGTAGGGTACCCGACTTAATATATAACATAAACTCGTATCAAACCTTGAGTGAAACTGGAACAAACTCCAAGAATCGTGACTCTTTTGTTATTGACTTGGCTGGAGAAAAAAGACACCCTGACTATCTGCTTCGACTACCTATCTAGATAGCTACCGAAAAGGCACTTGGAGCCGTGAGGCCCGTTTAATGCCAAGTTATACTCTATCGCTTTTAAATACATTAACAGCCCTGTGATGTGATTGTTGGTCCTGGTCCGTTTCATTCACAAGCCCAACAATGTGCGTCAGCACCAAGGGCGTAGGCGTGGGCGTGGGTATGGGTATGAGTATGCTTTAAGAGGCTGTGAACAATAATCATGGAGGAATTTGAATATTTTAGGTATCAGTTATTCAGTTGTTAGGAAATGCAATAGTGAAAAATAAGAGTCACAAAGTAACACGAGACACTGCAGAGGGAAAGAATGCACGGGATTGTATCACATATAATAATCTAGAATTTGAGTGATATCCTTGCGTTGCTTGCAAGTAAGATTCATCTAATTCCATTTGTACATCTACTATTGCGACTGCTGCTATTTTACACTTACTTATTACTCATCTACTCACATTAATGCCATCTCTCCACCAGGGGCTAGTAAGCAAGATCCTCCATAGCCTTACATCGACTTTTCCTCACAGTGGCTTCAACATTCATCAAGTCAACCGCAGTGAAACGAGTGTTGAAACAGACCCAGAGACAGACCCCGAGACAGAAACTACATCAGGGTTGCCTTTAATAAGAGACGAACTAAAGCAACCTGGAAAGGCTAATCTTTCACCACTCTCCCACTACGACCAGCACCCCGTCTAGCGAGAACCTTACTCTACCGGTCTCCCAGTCTAGCTACCAGGGAGTACTCTTGACTTTCGACTCGAGCAATCCTACAGAGTTTAGGGAACCATATCATATCAACCTTATACACCAAAATAATCAACCGAATCCCTTCTTTATTACATTTGTTCTTAATTACTATTATACAGATTAGATGCCCAAAACATTATCTTCTTTACAGTGTTCGACAAGATTGTCAAGAGCAAGGGCCATACCTCTTGCAACGACTTCCAACTAGATAACTTTAGTGGGGTAAACCCTGAGAGACAGACTGAAAGAGAGTGTGTGTCTGTGTGAGAGAGTGTGTGTGTGAGAGAGAGAGAGTGAGGAACGTACATACATAACAGGAAAATGGGTAATGTTAGTAGCAGACCAGATGATGGCGCGCCATTGTACTTGAGGGATCAAACTCGCTGTTAGTACTCCCATTGATACTCATCGCATTTTGAGAGAAGGAGGGGACTGATTGTGATATACTACTAGTAACTATATCGTCCTTGTCAATCACCAATCAGCGGAGGAAAACACTCTTAAACATTGTTCCAAACGGCTTTCCAGCAACAAGAGTATCTGCGATTCGCGATCTTGGAGATAGTGCTGTGGTGGAATATGTCCAGGTAACGATTATACATACATATACATTGCATTTGTATTACCAAAAATCCTAATCAGAATTCTGCAGGACCCTGATACACTTCCTGGCGCCGCTCCCAATTTCCTCATCAAAATCAATAACGAAGAAGAACTTACCTTCAACTTCACATTCATCATTCGACAATCGCAAGGATTTCTACCTGCAACGAACGGCGCAAAAGATGTGGTCGGATTGATAGACTCAGTTATAAATGGACTTACATATGTATCTGCCTCGACGGCGCGAGAAGTAGAGAATCTAGTCACTCGAGAATTTCATGCCGATCCGAATTTGCACAAGAATGCCAATGTACAATTGGTTGGGGATTATTCCACCGGAGGCAGTCAATCAGTGTCGTTCGAATGGTCTTGGAAATGGAGACCTCCAAAGCCAACAGAGGATCGCGGGGGTGGTTGGAGAAATAATTGTAGCGTATGTTCGACCGGATCGCATGTGTTACTCGTTCTGACATTTCTCTAGTTTCTCGAATATGATCAACGAGCGCATCGATTGAATACACTGGCTAGCTTCTCATTCTGGGTTTCAAGTAAGGCTCTAATTGATTTGGCCCAATCATCTACTAACAAGGACCTAGATTCACAACCGTTAAGTATGCCAGGCTCGCCATCTCCCCCATTCCATCTTGTTCCACCCCCGAAATTGCGACTTCCCTCTTCTCAATCCCTCGATTCTCGTGTGAGCGGACAAGAACTATCCTACGAAGACGCACCACCGTCGCCAAACCCCCTTAACCTCGATCTGATTGTTCCTCAAAGTCAAATGGCGGATGTACCCAAGGTTGATGTTTCTTGTCAACGGCCGGGTGAAGATATGAGCGCCACCGAAGATGGGCCATTATTCAGAGCTACTATGAAAGCATTAGAGCAGAAGACTGGAAATATGCGCGCACGGATGAAGAAGGTTCTCAGAAAGGCAGAGGCTGCGCAACTTGCTCAGATTCAATGCAACGATGCCATTGGAGGATTTATGGAAGCGCTTCGAGAAGCATCTAATTCGAATGCAAACGCAGTTCAACCCGCTTTGGACCACTACTTTGATAAGATTGCGCGGGAGATTCTACAGTATGAGAAGCAGAATGCTCTCAATCTCGAGAAAGTCATTATAGAGCCACTTGCAAAATTATATACCCTCGATATCAAACAAGCTGAATCAAAGAAACGAGACTTCGAGGAAGAAAGTAAAGATTATTATGCATATGTCTCGAGATACTTGGGTCAACGTCAAGATTCCCTCAAACAGAAAAAGCGCGTTGAGAGCGATACAAAATACCAAACGAAACGTCGGAACTTCGAGCTGAAGCGTTTCGATTATTCTTCATTCATGCAGGATCTCCATGGGGGGCGAAAAGAACAAGAAGTTTTGTCACATTTGACTAAGTATGCAGATGCTCAGACAAGGAGTTATCTCGCAGCAGCCAAGAAGGTGGAACAAATGCTTCCACAGTTAGAAGCATTGAGTGCAGAAGTGCAGGATGCAGACAAAGAATTTCAATACCAGAGGACTGAACGTGAAGAAAAACGGCGCAATCTCGAGAAGAGTACTATTACATATGTGGAACCTGAGACAGTTCCTGCGGTCCCAGTTGAACCCATCGTACCTGGAACCTCGAGTTCAGGAAATGGCGCATATACATCAGATTCTGAGCTCAACAGAGCGGATAGCACTGGGCATCAACTGAGACCGGTGCCGACAAATAGTACAATTGCTACAGTCAATAATGGCGGCATGACGGAGTTTTCTAGATCTCCTGGTAGCCTCTCGTCGACAGTCGGAGGACAAGTAGGAAGCCCGGGCGCAAATCCTCGGTTTCGTGGCATACGTGACCTCGAAGAAAAAGATCACAGTCAAATCACGGCGAGTGAGAAGTTGGGCACGCAGCGTAAAGAAGGTCTTCTCTGGGCTTTAAGCAGGCCTGGTAGCCATGTTGATCCAAGGGGCCTAAACAAGCAAGCTTGGCACAAGTAAGTCTGACGCGCCATAGACGCAGTAACCCAACTGACTTTCATAGATTTTGGATTGTACTTGATGCCGGTAAACTCTCTGAGTATAGTAATTGGAAGCAGCGTCTAGACCTACACATGGAGCCCATAGATTTACGTATGGCATCTGTTCGTGAGGCTCGCGATGCCGAGCGCCGTTTTTGTTTTGAGGTCATAACACCTCATTATA